TTTGAATAGCACCTTCTAATTCAATTCAATTCCAATTTCGCCCAACAGTGAGAATGAAATCAGACTTTGTGATATTGATGTTGTTGTTGTTTGCCATCTCATTCCACATCTTTAATTCTTAAATCATTTCTGAAAGTTATTATACTATTTGCTTTTCCTCCTATAAAACCCAGTTTAATTGATCCATCCAGCTTTCTGAATGTGAAGTGACACACATTTCTAACTCATTGACAACTAACTCCTTGGTTATCTAAGGACCCTGGATCTTTGTATCAGTTCAAAATGAGTTCTAGACCTTGTTCTTATATTAGTTAAATTAATCCCTGGCTAAATTGCTCCATTGTCCTCTATATTTTGAGGCCAATAGGAATAAAGACAATTGCAGGTTATTAATTTCAAGCTCATTTCAGAGACAGGAGTATGGAAACAATGGTGGAAGCTCTCATTGTGTCTGAAAAGTCTACCAAGTATTTCTTAAGCTAGCTATGAACATTTCTTTGCATTCCAAAACTTCCTGTTGCAAAGAATTTGGCATGTTTGAGTATTTTTTTTAACATTTTAGTGGGGATATTTACATTGCCAGGGAGCCAGAACTTAAAGAAAAGTGTTTTTCACTGTGCTACTGAAGTAAATACTGAATTCTAACCAATCATTAGTAAAATCTTTGTTATGGGATATTTGTATATCTCTATGTCCTTGATCACTTTATTTCAAGCAGAAATCATCCGGTGAAATCTTTTTCCATCTCCAGGCTGGAGAAAAGTTTCATGTATTGACCATTCCTCACTTATCTGATATTCACACTATGAGTACTACATTTTATGTAACCAAAACAACACCATAGACACATATACACATGAAGTATACCTTTGGGCAAATGCCAACATTTGTATTTATTTTTTTATTCTATTTTTAACTTTATATTATATTATTTTACTGAAAGGGCCAGTTTCTAGTGAGTTCTAGTCCTGCCTTAGGAATAAAAGCTGTCTGGGTGACTCTGAGTCAGTCACATTCTCTGCGCCCAATTCACTTCACAGGATTGTTGCTGTGGAGAAAAGAGAAGGAAGAAGGAATGCTAAATATTTTACTGCTTTGAGTTGTATATATAGAGTAAGGCATAATAAAATCTAAAAAAAAAAACCTGCCCCCTCAAACTGTCTAATGGGAATAATTCCAGAATGTTCAAAGACTTTAGGATCAGCAATAGAAAGGAAGGAATATCTGGAAACAGGGAACAGTTAGCTGGCATCTTAATTAGTAACACCCTTCACTAATGTGGACATTCTTGATACCACCATAGTGATGCCTGGGTGATGTTACAAAATATTCATGTTGGTATACTACTCATCATCTATGTCCACAAACCTGGGTCATGGAGGCTTGATAATAGTGTTCAAAGTCTTGCAAGAGATGGTTTTATAATTACTGTCATCTCCTCATTTGTCTTGCTTCACTGCAGAGTGTGTCTGATTTGCACTGCATTTGCTTAGTTTTTCAGTCAGCTTGTCACATAGCCTTTTGACGATTATAATTGACAGGAAGTGTCTGGCTCAAAGTGACCCCAATTGGGAACCATGTCTAAGGAAGATCTACTTCCTGGGTCTCTCTACTTCTTTTCAGATATTGTAACCACTACACCATTCTGGTTCACTAAATGATTTTATGATACTATCTAATCTTTTTAATAGTCATCCAAATGGTTCATTTGACAATTTTCTAGATAGTCTGTTCCTATGCTTGGTTTTTCCTGTGCTTAGGAGTTCTGCTATATTTTTACCACTTCTGTCTTTTTAATAACAGTTATAAATGAAAATGTGAAGCTTTTCCTGCTGGCAGAAGCTAATCAAAGTATTACTGTATTAGTTATCCTTCAAAGAACCGAGGGGGGAATGTGACAACTCAGCACTGAAAGGCAGAAATTGGAAATTCTTATCAAGCAAGCTTCAAGTTATACTGATAGAGAAAAGGCATAAAAATAAACTGAATGGCGGGAAGACCCAATAGCAGGGATAGCAAGGGTGTTAGTGTAGGATTGTTGGGTACGGCAGCATCTTGCAATGACCAGCAGGAGTCCACTATCAGTTATAGACAATCTGGATTTATCTGCAACTTTAGCTCAGTTTACTTCAAACTGGGTGAAATTGCTAAAAATAGTTATTGTAAGTTTGATATAGCAAGTGATTGATTGATTATGTGCATTACATTGGTGCTAACTATGGGTGACCACATGGATTTTTTCTAGGATTACTTGTCCCGGTCTTGACCTTCAGTCTTCCAATGTTGTCCCTATCACAACTATAATTGAGTCTCTCTACTTTGTTGCTGGTCATCCTTTTTGGTGATTGATACAGATTACAAATGAGGCCTTTGATGTTCAGCTCTCCAAAGGTAATTTGGACTATAGAGAGCATTTTATGAGGGGTCTTGGTGCTCTCTGAGCTTGCTTGTTTTCTTGCAGACATTTCATTACCCTAACTAGGTAACATCATCAGAGCATGTTATGGGTGCAATTACAAAATTGCTACAATGAGAAATTTGCCTATTGACAATATGGGTACCCTGGCAGACATGGCTCATTGCAGAAATGGCTTCCTTCTTAATTTTTTTCATTTGAACTATTAGTACGCAGTGAGGGGAAAAGAGGTTGGCTTGGACTCTTCCTCACATAGTTGTAACTCTGTGAGAGAAACACAATTCATTAGGATTTAATATTTATCTTCATGTAACAAGGGGGAGAAAGCATCATTTGTATTGGCCTAAAACAAGTTACAAGACAACAATAAATTCCTTACAAAGAAGATAGATTAGCGTGGCAGACTATTTGCTTCCTGCCATAAGTGTTTTAATACTTCAATTAACACACTGTTCTTTGAGATTGTCAGTGGTTGGTCTTTGATTTGGCAATGTCACTAAGCTCCATCATTTATGTGCACTGTGCTCTAAGGGTAGCTTATCCAAAGCATGAATGATTATCTCAGTCTCTTTTTTGAGTGCTGAAAGAGGGAGTGCTATGAGCACCCTGCCACATGTTATCTTTATCAAGCTATGAAATCTACTGCCTTTAGGACCGTTGTAATTCTTCTTGCTTGCCAACAGAACAGAGGGGGTGAGGTTTGAGAGAGTTCAGGGTCTACAGGTGTCTCTTATCACCGTGAGAGCTGAGAGCCATTGAGGAGTTGTTTTGGCAAACATGAGGTATGTTTGCCAGTGTTATGAGGTACTTCTTATAACAATTATCAGAAGTATTGGACAATGTGACTGAACTGTCAGAGAGGGGAGGGAGGTTTTACTCTTTTAATTATCTGCTTCCCACCATTTCCTCAGAGCTAGCTTTAATTCAATTATCCTGGTTCAATAAAAGTTTACATTAATGAAAGCAATGACTCTGGTATTTTGCTTGATTGGGCTATTTCAGCCGGGACTTGTCAATCTTCTGGATTACTAGATCTATTTCCATTCCACATTTCAAATAGCAAACTTTCAGGACTATAGGATGGGGTAGGATGAAGATGCACTTTCTGTAGTCCCAACCCCTATTGGCCGCCTTTCATTTTCTCCATTTGCAATGAACAACAATCAATAAACATCAGAAAATTCGCTTTGGAAATAATGACTTCCTGCAATTGTCATTGAATTTCACTTCCTAATCATGCTCTTATGGCTTTTGTTCCAACACATTGCTTGAATCATTCAGAGCTCTTACCATTATTCTATAATTAGAAAGTTCTGGGTGAGTTTGTAATGAAAACAACCCATTGTTTTGAATCCAGGTACATGGGATGGAATACATCCAAAGAAAAATCAAGTTCTTTGAGTGATCTACTACGGATTATATTTTCTCATGGCTTCTTTATTTTATTCCCAGTACTCCAGGATGAGTAGTTTTGGAACACCTGAAAGGAAAACTTAAAGGGACATATGAAATCGTCTCGAACTGAGCAAGTGGTGTATTTTCCTTTATTTACAGATTTCAGAAAAAAGAATACAGAAGGTTGATTTATATCAAATTAAAGATTCAATATGTTTAAGTAAGCATTATTTTCTCTGGATGAGAACAGGAACTTAATCTTTTAGGAAATGGACATTCCCTGCTCTATGTAGGAATTAAAGTTATTGAAATTGGAGCCATTTATATGCAGGCAGGCATGGACATTTTTTTCACAACACAACCGGAAAACAGTCCAACCTAGTGCTTTCTAGGTGATTGCAATACAACTATTAGTAACTTAATTGTGACTATCGGTAGCGGGAAAGGAAGGGAAATTTAGCCTCACATAACTGGAAGACCTTTGCCATTTTCTCTGAGTCTGCCAGAGGATAGGAAAAAGGACAGGGACTTTCCAAATATGCACACATAGTTCAGCTCTGTTTATTCTCTGTTCTTTTGTATGTTGTATATTTACAGCTAGAAGGCAGATCTCCCTTCTCCAGGGATTTTAATCAACCATTAAACATCCCTTTCGCAATATCTACATGAGCCTGACTTTTGGCCCATAAGAGAAAAAACTTTAATTTTGAAATGACTGCATTGTTCCAAATCTGTCAGGACAACTCCCCTACCAGATTGAGAAGGGGATGTTTGAACTTCACTCTGCTGTGCATTGATCTAGTATCATATTGACTTAAGCTAGGTGACAGTGTATGCTCACTTGGCATGCTATTAATCAAGCACTGAGGATCTTGCTCCCTCTGCATGGGTTTTTGGCATAGATAAAGCTCTTTTCTGCAGCAAACAGGAACTTCAGTATTGTACCTACTTGTGTTTTATTGTAAATAGAGCACATAATTTTATTGTAAATAGAGCCATTATGACAAAGACTAAAGATACCATACAGATATAAAAGGAACTGTGTGGATTGTTCGTAAAGGGTGTGGCGCACAGCAAAAGAATTACTTCTTAAAGTGGCTTTCTCCAGCCTAGTATATTGGACTGTTAGAAGAAAGTCCTGGGTTCAAAACCAGACCAAGTCATCCAAAGAACACACAGGGCAAGCCACTTGGAACAGAAGCAAAGTTTATTTGAGAAGTACAGCAATCCAAGTTTGCAACGAAATTACAGTTGTCAAGTGATTACCTTTATACATTTCCTCTGTCCTGGTCAGACTCTCTCTATTCAGAAACAAAGCCCACCCTGAAGAAATTATTGGAAACTGCAATTAACTGGATGGCCCAAAGAGGGCATCTGGTGGGGACTTTGTGGGGTTTTTCCACTCATTTACTATATCAACTGGCTTCCAGCTTAATTAACATTGAGGCTGGGGGTGGCAGTCACTCAGTGGAAGGGATCTTTTTATTAATAGACGTGATATCTGTTATGTACCCGAATGGGCTGCAATCTTTGGCCAACCTCAACCACTTTGTATGTGTAAAGGAGGGGATTTATAAAGGTTTTGACTGAGTTACTAGTGTCTGCCAACTTCCTAACAGTTTCATCCAAAGGGTCAGACTTGGCTGATAGCTCAGGAAGTTCTTTGTTTTGTGACCTGGAGTTTCCTGGGGTCAGATATGGCCAAGATTAGTGTGTGGTCTGGCTAGAAGGTATCATGGACACTTTTACTTTCTTACGGTACAATTCCATACATTCTAACATGACTATGATTTATGTTTATTTCTGCTAAGGAAGAAGAGGGTTTGTCTAATACAGCTTGAAGAAGTCACTGGAAAAAGATCCGGAGAGGCCTCTTAAAGAGATTCACATCAGTATGGGACTTGCTCTATTTTCTCTGTATATCAAATTGATAAAAGAAGGGGGGAAAAGCTAAATTAGGGAATTTTCAGAACAATCTACTTCATATAAATTTTAATTAAACATATACATACAACTCACATGGAAGATTCCATCCAGCGTGGATATCCCGGGAAAGAATGTTAAGACTCAAAACAAAAAACTTATGCAAGATCCTAAGTACAAGCCATTTCGGAGTCATAAATCCAAAACACAGATTCAAATTGTTGTTTAGGATTTCAACAGGTGTCCATTTCAACAAAGACAAACCGGTAAGATCAGAAGACAACAACACTTACCTAAACACCTAAAGGGTAAGAAAGATAGGAGCTAAATCTCTAAAATCAATTTATACATTTATTTTTTGTTGTACACTCTCCTTAAAAATACCTATTGATGTCTGCAACATTTTACTTCTATGTTTTATCCAAATATTTAGATCCCTTTTTTTCAAGGCAGATGTCTTCACAATAAAGCTTGCATATGGTTAAACTGGTATATACTGTAAGCTAATTAAAGAATACAGCACCCAATAATTTTATGAGAAACACAACAAAAATAATTTAGAGTCTGAGTACACAGAGAGGAGTTAATCTCCAGTGAGCTTTTAAACTGCCTATAATAACAGAGGGACAAAAAAGACACCAGGGAATACTGCCTTCAAAATTGAGAGTGTTGGTTATAATAGAGAGTTCCCCAACTTTTCTGGCTTTGTGGCCCTGTGGGGGAGGGAGAGGGCATGGTTCCACATGAGCAGTGGGGAAGCGCGTGCGCTTGCCTGCTGCTCATGCAAGTTGGGATGTGTGCATGCACTGATCCCCCCCCCCGCTTCCGCAGCCCGGTTCCAAATGGCTCAAGGCCCATTAGTGTGCCACGGTCTGGGGCTTGGGGACCCCTGCTTTAATATAACAATACAGGCAGTACTTGACTTATGACAAATGAGCTCAAAATTTCTGTTGCTAAGTGGACGGTTGTCAAGTGTGTTTGCCCCATTTTATGATCTTGCCACAGTTGTTAAACAAATCACTACAGCTGTTAAGTTAATATCACGGTTGTTAAGAATCTTGGTGTCTAGTATAAGTATATATACTCTCTCTCCCTCTCTCTCTCTCTCTCTCTCTCTCTCTCTCTCTGTGTGTGTGTGTGTGTGTGTGTGTGTGTGTGTGGGTGTGTGCGTATACGTATCAAAGCTAAGCATACTTTGGACAAGATTCATGAGCTCTGAAGTTCTTTTCATTCATTTTCAAAACCTACACAATATAGTATTTCTTCCTTTACCAACCATATCACCACCTACTTTGTATTCCGGTGATGTCTTATTTAGACAGTTCTAAATACCTTCATTAATGCTACACAGTATGGTAAAAACATTAAGCCTGCCCTCCTATTGCCAACCCTTTGATAAAAATTCCCAGGAGTCCTCTTTAGTAAGCGACAAAATGACTTACCTGCTGATTTCTGCAGAGCATCCTTCTGCTAATGGAACAAAAGCAGTCTTTCTTTCTTGCCCAGTTGCACCAGGTGATTCCAAACTCATTTTGAATTTCACATATGACTCATTCCTGATTGCAATATGTTGAACAGAAAATAATAGGCAGGTTCAGTATTTAATGAAAGTTGTAATATATCAGGAAATTATTCAAGGTCTACACAGTTAGCTGATATTGCTCTCTGATAGACTTGATGCTATATATAGAAAGTAAATGGCAACAGAAGGTGCTGTGAACCAGTGAGCCATGCCACGCTGTAAAATACTTGAGTGTCAGTTAAAAAAAAAATGCTGTGTGCTTCCAGGCTGAAAGCCCCTGGCCTACAATGATATTGAACAGAATGCAAGCCAGCAAAAGCCAGCATATGTTTGAGTTCATGAAGCATGATTTTGACAAATAATTGATTTAATACATTTTGCAAAGAGCACAGCTTAAAGACCTTTATTTATTAACATCCAAAAAAGTGTGTATTCATATTTAATGAAATTGCTTGAGAGATGTCACAAAGAGGACCTAAATAGTTAATACATTCAGCACATATATGGAAATGATCATTGAAGTATTAATAGATCAATAGCATTCTACTATGCCTCTGTTCCATCACTTCTTTTGCTCTCCTGTTAAAGGTTGTGGGGTTTTCTTTTTTCTTTTTTAATGTCTCTTTTCTCTGTTCCTCTTCTGATATTTTAATTGAAATTAAGGAATCTATAAATATTTTATTTTCCTTTATCCATTGTGTTTAGCAATCCCTGGGCTTCATGATCAATGTCTGCCTTCATGTTTTTGTAGTGATGTTGTGGGAAGTCAGCCCTCCCCCCAGAGAAGGAAATATTAAAAGTGCAGAATATATTTCCCTAAAGGATTTTAAAAGCAGAAACCAACCCTTCCCCCAGGTCTCTCTGTCCCAAGCAGAAACCAAGTCTGCAGAAAGACTTTGCTCAGGAAACTGGGATTAGGAAGAAAGAACTCTAGAATCCACAATTCCTCACATCAAAAATTCCAACAGTCATCAGCCCCAGCCTCAGGGAAGTAGGATATGACCTTTGGGACATACTAGGATTAACCCACCACCATCAGAATACCAGAAAGGCACACTCAGACTCAGGGCAAAGTTCATGCCACAGGAACAACTCCAAACAAAAGGCTCCAGAGGGTATAAAAACTCATTCCCTACATGTGCTCTCTCTCTTTCTGCCAGAGCCTTCTTCCTGCCTGGCTCTCCTCTTCAGTAAACTGCAACTTTCTTTCTAAAGCAGTCACCATGTTGTTTATCCCCGGCTTGGATGAATCATGATGAAGACTTTTCCTTCAACATGTTTTACATCTCAAGCTATCATTCCTTCAATTTGCTGTCTGTCTCCACTGATCACTTCTAGTCTTACAGGAGTCTTAACAAAAGTTTGCAAACTACATTTTATTTTATCTACTTAAATGTAGTCTTTAATCTTTTATTCAATACCCTTTTATTCAATCCTTTTGTACTAACTTTAATGGTTAAAGTATTACCCAGAAAGTATTATTCAATACCTATTTTATTCAGTCCTCTTATCCTTGTACTAACTTGAATTAAGCATTATCTGTGCTTCTTTATAGCCATCTATTAGAAAGAAAAATCATTTTTCTTTGTGTATGTTCTGTGCTAATCATGACAATTGTTATTTTCAAATTGATCAAAAGCATTGCCACAACCTGAACATAAGTGACAAAGGGGCATGTTATGGATATGAACATTTTGAAATGTTTGTATTTGGGTTTGGTTGAGCATATCAACATTCAGCAAACACATATTGCATTTTACACTAATTCCTAAGCCAGAGTTTCTAGCCAAGATGACAACTATGATGCAGAGTAGGAAAAGTTGTTTAATACATGTGTAACTATTTGAAAAGCCAGAAAAGGTTTCTGCTGTCTCTGCACAACTTAGGCAAGAAGCCCACTCAGCTACTAAAACCATCATTCAAGGCAGTTGCTCCACAAATGATGGACTAAATCAATCTTTTCTAACACCTTCCAGATGTGTGGGCTTCAATGTCCAGAATTTGCAGTCAACATGGCTGTTGCTGAAAAAGCAAAGAATCGAAGAACAGAATTGGAAGAGATCTTGGAGGTTTTCTAGTCCAACCCCAGCACAAGCAGGAGACCCTATACTATTTTGAATGAATCGCAAACCATTCCACTGATTAATTGTTATCACTGCCAGGAAATAACTCCTTAGTTCTAGGTTGGTTCTTTTCTTGATTAGTTTCCATCCATTGCTTCTTGACCTGCCTGGTACTTTGGAAAATAGGTTGACCTCCTCTTCTTTGTGGTAGCCCCTCAAATATTGGAACACTGCTATCATGTCACTCTTAGTCCTTCTTTTTGCTAGACTAGACATACCCAATTCCTGTAGCTGTTCTTCACATTTTAGCTTTCATCCCCCTAATTATCTTTGTTGCTCTTCTCTGCATTCTTTCCAAAATCTCAACATCTTTTTTATACTGTGGTGACCAAAACTGAATGCAGTAGTCCAAGTGTGATCTTACCAATTCCAAGTGGGATCAAGTGAGGTCTACGTATCTGAAGGGCTCTTGTTCATGGACACTCTTTCTGAACTTGGGACTGGCTGGCTGATTGGCAATTGGAGAAGTGGTCATTACATGCATCCTGAGGACACCTAGCTGGAGGAAGTTTGTATATACAAATGATCTCCAAGACAACTTCCCATAGTTCCAAGTTTCACTATCCAGAACAGCTCAGTTTGAAATAACATAAGGAATTTTATTACACCCCAGCTGATCAACTTACAAGCAGCAAAACATTGTAACTGGACAATTGGCTCTATATCAGTGATTCTCAACCTTTCTAATGCTGTGACCCCATAATACAGTTTCCCATGTTGTGGTGACCCCCAAGTGGGTGTGGCCACCAATAAGAGGGAGTAGGACAGCTAGGGAAAAGGGAAAAAATGGCGGACAGCATGGTTTGGTGACCCCCGTGAAATGGTCATTCGACCCCAAATGGGGTCCCGACCCACAGGTTGAGAACCACTGCTCTATATAATACACTTTTGCTTGTGTATTCAATAATTGAAGGCCAAATATGTGCCTGAAATTTTCTGAACAGCAATAATCTGAATTTTGAAATAGTGGTACCATGACAACCACAGTGTTGCCTTTCATGCTATCATGTGTTGCTGTATATGTTGTTAACAAAAGCATTTCAGAATAGTAATTCCAAAATTGTGCCTCAAAAAGCCATGCACACAATTTTAAATGAGGTAATTGTAGTTGGAGGCAGAAATAAATGACTAAAAACATCTGTGATTCCAAAATACTCATCTAGAGGAAGGATGCTTGACTGCAGCATCTGTTGTAGGATTCCAGTTTTGCTTTGGCTTCCTTCTGCTGGGCTGAGTCACTCTGCTGCCTGAATCCATACCAATTATTTGATTGGGTCTATCATTATCTGTGCAGAGATGTCATAGCAGGGTGCACTTTCAGATGAGGCCAACTTCTGCTTTGGGGTGGAGTGCCTCCTTTCAGCCTGAAGATTGTTCCAGATAAATGACCATCTATTTGGAGGGAGGATAAATATTCTGTACCTCAGTAGTAGGTCATTGCTTCCTGCAGAAAGTTCATGATTCAGTCAAGTTCAGAGAAATTTGAAACAGGATATTGAGAGATCTGCAGTCACTATAGAGAATACTGAGCTATTAACCCTGATTCAGTATATGATACTACACCTTCCTTTCTTCACACAATGCAGAATTCTTAACTTTTGCTATTAAAAACAAACAAAGGCATGGTTTACATGAGTGTTTAACTATGTTCCATTAAATAGTAAGTGTTGACTTGCACAATATATTAGGCCTTGCTTTAATATAAGTCTTAGTGAATAAATTATGAGCAGATCCTTGCTTTTTGATAGGCCCATTGTCTAGTATGGGTCATTTCCCCTTTTATGAATGTGGGAACAGACAACATTGTCTTTCTGTCCTTCCCAGAACATTGCAGATGCATCCCATTCCTGAAATTAGCTTAAGAAACAATTGGACAAACGATTTACTACATTTGACTGGGTTCACCCAATGTATCAAGCCAATAAATATGATTAATAACCACAAAGACTGCATTTGTGGTTCCATAGCAAATGAACACAAAGACAAACCATAAGAGCCATATTGTGTGAAGTGGGTCTAAAAGTGCCATGAATTTTGATCTTGCGTATTAAAACCAAACACAAAGCTGGCACTCTGCCAATCTGAGTGGCAAAAGAGTATACACAAATGTTCCCTAAAAAAAAAAAAAAGAAACATGAAATAGCCCTACTCACATTCCTTTTCATTATGGAGGGGGAAAGCTCCACATCCTGGTTCTTTCATCTGGAGGTGGAAATCAGCATTAGGAATGGGATGCAAATGCAGACTTTTTACTAAGAGGAGGTGGAGGAAGGAATACATAGATATCCAGGCCAAATTAGGTTTGCCCTAAAAGTAAATATTTTCTGTTCTTATCATGTGCTTCCACTTGCAATGCTGAAAAAGAACACAATTAATATTAATTTTGGTGAAACACTGTCATACAACTAGAGGAGATTCTCCAAAGACATGTGCAATAAAATGTCTTGTCCTTACAAGTTGTAAAATTCCTGGTCCTGATTTTATATTCCTTCTCTTGGATGAATCTGCTGAATGCATGAAATAACTAACTTTTAAATTCAACAACCTCCGTTAGGCAGCTTCAGGTCTCTTGAGGTATGACATTTACACCTCCTCTTATTCCTCATGAAGCTCAACTAGGATGCAGCCAAAATCACAACATTTTTCCCATTTTTAACATTAGAGCTCTATAATGCTTCCAGTTGGCTATTTTGTTACTTTGCTTTAGGAAATTCTTGCTTCATCTATCTCTCTTCTATAGTTTAAGCTCCACTATCTAGATCAGTGGTTCTCAACCTTTTTAATGCCGCGATCCCCAACCGGTCGTAAGTCGAGGACTACTCAACTGGTGCAGCACTGTTTGCAGAATGGGACTTTTGGCGGGCTCAGCAGGGCAGAGACAGCCTGGACAATTCCTATTGGCTTTTGAAAGCCAATAGAATTAGACTCTATTCAAGAGAGTCTATTCTATTGGCTTTCAAAAGCCAATAGAATAAAAGGGAGTAGCACAGCTAAGGAAAAGGGGAAAAAAATGGCGGACTGCGTTGTTTGGCGACCCCCGTGAAATGGTCGTTCGATCCCAAATGGGGTCCCTACCCACAGGTTGAGAACCACTGATCTAGATCCCTGAAGCAATCTTATCAATAAACTGATCTTAATCCTTTGAGTCAATCTCACGATCTGTTTTTTTTTTTTAAATGTTTGCTTTCCTTGCTTAGGTGAACAATCACATCTACACAAAATGGGTAGATAAATAAATAGCCTGCACTAAACTCATGCCTCACTTTGGGCTCTCCTTCATGGCCATGGAAACATGTGATCCTCTCAATCTTCCATCAGAAGGAAAGTACATTGTCTAAAAAGCTTGGTCCTTTACCACTGTTCAGGGACAAACTGGCTAGTATTGCTCCCCAGAATACACATTAGGGCAATTATTTAGGTGATTCAATCATTTAGGGCAATGATTGGTACATTCCTGGCTCTCCTTCCCCACCATCTCCTACATTTGGGGAAAACAACAGCTACTTGTTGTTCTGAACACGTAGGTGTCTGTGGCAAGGGATATGATTTGACATTCAAGCTGTCATTTTTATTTTCTAGGTATTTTGACTTTTTTCTTCCTCTGGAGAAGACTCTGATGCTGGGAAAGATGGAAAGAAAGAGAATGACCCAGCAGCAAGATGGATGGATTGAGTTACAGGGGTGATGAGTGCATTGATGCATGCCCTGGAAGACCAGGTTAGGGACAGTTCAGCATGGAGAAAAGATATGTATGTGGCCACTAAGAGTCATCAATAACTTGATAACATGTACTCAGTCAATGTTGTCTTTCTTATTCCCTGCCTACTTATGGGAGAAAGCACACCTAGCAGGGAGGGGACCACAGGTTTCTTTATGGAAGGGGCTGAAATTTATGGAATAATATTTAAAAAGTTCATGGCAGTCCCAATGTGATTTTGTTTCAAAAAAAAAAAATGATTTCAAGCAGTAATGGGATTCAAATATGTGAACAACCAGTTCTCTGTGTGGATGACACTTCCGGAAGTCCATTCTGGGCCTGGGCAACAAAAAATTAGCTACTGGTTCTGCCAAACTGGTGTGAACTGGATGAATCCCATCACTGATTTCAAGGCCTGCCACATGAATCCTCTGGAGCAGTGGTTCTCAACCTGTGGGTCGGGACCCCATTTGGGGTCAAAAGACCATTTCATGGGGGTCCTCCGCCATTTTTTCCCCCTTTTCCTTAGCTGTGCTACTCCCTTTTATTCTATTGGCTTTTGAAAGCCAATAGAATAGACTCTCTTGAATAGTGTCTAATTCTATTGGCTTTCCAAAGCCAATAGGAATTGTCCAAGCTGCCCTGCTGAGCCTGCCAAAAGTCCCATTCTGCAAACGGTGCTGCACCAGTTGAGTAGTCCTCGACTTACAACCGGTTGAGTAGTCCTCGACTTACGACCGGTTGGGGGTCGCGGCATTAAAAAGGTTGAGAACCACTGCTCTGGAGCCTTTCTATTCTCTTCTTAGGACTCAAATAAGTTATGGGCAAAGAGAAGAAGAGATTCTGAGGTACCCCAAGGAGAATCCCATCATCATAGTTCTCTATAGTGCCTCTCCTCTCCCAAATCCAGTCAAAGGTATTCCAGGAAGATGCATTTTTGACTCACTCTCAGGGGAATAATTCTGATTTCTCTGGTTTGCCAGTTTTGAATCCAAGCATAATAACTGAAGGCTATAGAACACAAGGACTCCTATAGCTGACGCTTCTCCTGAACTCTCACACTATCTGGTTTGGCTTTCTCCCAGTCCACAATATGGTAACCTTCATGCCTCAGCACTTACTGGATGTTTGGTAAAAACCTTCTCACTTGCTCTGCTCCCATTTGGCAAAACCTTGCTGTGCCCCAGATCTGTTGTCTTTGCTCACAATAGTGGTCAGATTGCTGCCCTAGCTGATGTTGGATTGCATGTCAGCTCCGCCCGGGGAGCTTCTATCTAGGTCAAGCTTAGGATTTTCAGTTGTTTCCCAGGTATTCACTGGGAATATACATTCATCATAAAATATATGATCTGTGCCCCAGAGTTGGTTCTCCCAGAATTTCCAGATTTCAGCACATCCCAGCTTTCTGATTGCTTCAAATAGTTTGGATAGTATGGTTTCAAATTCACACACGCATACAGCTGCTTAGTGAGAATACCATTTTACTTAAGGCTCAGCAGACAAGGAATGGAACATAAACCCAAGCAGTTTCTGAAAAAGGAAGCTAGCCTGGATAATTTCAACAGGAACATCAAGAAGAGAAATCAAAATCCAGTCCAAAGTTCAAAGAGCCAATCCATATCTAACAGCTAATCTGAAGGTCAGAGTTTCAGGGTTTACAAGCAGAATTCACAGGAACAACCAGGGCTTTTTTTCTCATAGAACGCCCAGAACGGAGTTCCGGCACCTTTTTTGGATGGAACCTTGTAGGGTAGGCAAGGCGGGGTTGTATGACGTGTGTGAGTTCTGGCACTTTTTTTTTTTTTTTTTTTAGAAAAAAAGCACTGGGAACAACACATAATAATAATAATCAGATTATTGTTTCCAGTAGAGAAGCACAGGACAGGGGATTGCCTGTTAAATCAGGCTGCAGCCAGCAATCTTCAATTGAGACAATTAACCTCTTGCTTGGCAAGGAGCTTCATGTTGCATCTGTTGTACTTGCTGCTCTACTGAGTCTGAGGGCTTAGAGGTCTATCTCTGATCTGATTGTTCTAGCTGTTCTGAGGGTGTCTGTGTT